ACTAGATAAGGACACTATGAGTTCATAGTGATGCCCTTTGGACTTACCAATGCGCCAGCTACATTTCAGCGATGTATGAATGATTTGTTTGGGCCTTGGTTAGATAGATTCGTCGTAGTTTACTTAGATGACATCTTAGTGTTCAGTAGGACCCTCCAAGAGCACCAGGGTCATTTGAGGCAGGTCTTGGAGAAGCTATGAGAAACAAACTTCAAGATCAACGCGAAGAAGTGTGGGTGGGCTAGAACGCAAGTCTTGTACTTGGGCCACATGTTAGACGAAGATGGCATTAAGCCTAAGGACAGCAAGATAGCGGCAATTAGAGATTGGCCGACACCCCGTACACTGACTGCGTTGCGGTCGTTCTTAGGCCTAGCTAACTATTATAGGAAGTTCGTGAGGAACTTCTCAACTATCGCCGCAGGTTGCTCAAGAAAGAGGTCATCTGGCAGTGGGATAAAGACTGTACGTCTATGCTAAAGAAGTTAAAGCGCGCGTTGATAGAGTATCCTGTTCTTAAAGTAGCAGATCCGTCCTTGCCATTGGTCGTCACCACTGATGCAAGTCAGTACGGTATAGGCGCCGTGTTACGGCAGGACGACGACAATCGTTACAGACCCGTAGAGTTCATGTCAGCAAGGATGCCCCCAGAGAAGGTAGCTACCTCGACATACGAGAGAGAACTCTACGCTCTCAGGCAGGCCTTAGAGCACAGGAAGCATTACCTGCTTGGGAGGCACTTCAAGGTGTATTCAGACCATGAGACACTTAGATGGCTGAAGACAGGCCAAAATGACACCTAGGTTGACTAGGTGGGCCGCTGAGATAGACCAGTACGACTTTGAGCTCAAGCCTGTCAAAGGCAAGTACAATTTAGTTGCGGACGCTCTAAGTAGGAGGCCAGACTACTTTGGAGCTATAGTTCACTATCTAGACATAGGGAGTGACCTGCAAGAGAAAGTTAGACAGGCATATGCGCAGGACCCTATTTATAGTGACCTCAAGAGAGTCAAGGAGGCCCCAGAGACCGAACCAGACTACCGCACTACTGAGGGACGGTTGTTTGAGAAGACAAACGTAGTAGACCGCCCGTGCGTCCCTAACAATGAGGAGATTCGTAGTTTGATCCTAGGGGAATGCCACGACACAGAGGGACATTTCGGTTGGAAAAAGACTCTAGCCAATCTGATGCATGCGTACACTTGGCCAGGAATGAAAGCTGACTGCATAGGGTATGTCCGCAGTTGGAAAGTATGTCAGAGAAACAAGAATACTACTCGTGCCCCTCTAGGTCTTCTCATACCCTTGCCTATTCCAGGCCAGCCTGGAGATTCAGTCGCCATTGACTTCATGGAAGCCGGTGTCAAGAGTAGACACGGCAAGAGCAGACACGGCAAGAGCCAAGTCATGGTCATAGTTGATAGATTTAGCAAGTATGCTGTTTTTATTCCTTTGCCTGCAGAGGCACGCACCGAGTTAGTGATTCAGAATTTTTTTGACTTCTGAGTTAGTGAGCATGGCGGCCCGTTGTCTATTGTTAGTGATAGAGATACCCGCTTCACGAGTCAGAACTGGCAGGAACTGATGAGAGTCTATGGGTCAAAGTTGTTAATGTCATCTGGCCGTCACCCAGAGACTAATGGTCAGACTGAGCAGATGAACAAGATCCTGCAGCAAGTTCTGCGTATGTACATTAGACGAGATCAAGTCAATTGGGACGAGATGTTGCCCAAGGTAGCCAGTGCGTACAATAACGGAAGGTAAGACATTGACGGCATCGTAGGTGAAGATGAGTTTAGAGCAGGAGGTTGAGGTTGTCCACAGAAACAATACAAGGTTCAATTTGCTTATCAGGAGCTAGAGGACGACCGCAGGTTTACTAGAACGGAACTTCTAGAAACACCTGCCGACATAGTTAGAGCCTATGAGAGAGATAAGAAAGTTAAAGGTCATGCCTTGGACTGATATATTCTCGGAGGCCCAGCACTGAATGATAGAACAGGCCAATAAGCATCGTCACCCGTCACAGTTCCAAGTAGGCGACTTAGTTTGGGTCAAGTCCAAAGAGTTTGGTCCTGAGGAAAACATCTCGCAGAAGTTACTACCCGCGTATAGAGGACCGTGGCCTGTTCTAGAAGTTAAGGGCGGAGACGATGGGCCGTCCTACATAGTAGAGATCCCGGCACACCTCTACACCTACCCTGTATTTCATGCATCAAAGTTGTTGCCATGTGTCACAAGTCAGCAGTTTCCATCTAGAAGGTCCATGATCCCTCCAGACATGGACGGAAGGTAAGACATTGACGGCATCGTAGGTGAAGATGTGTTTAGAGCAGGAGGTTGAGGTCGTCCACAGAAACAATATAAGGTTCAATTTGCTTATCAGGAGCTAGAGGACGACTGCAGGTTTACTAAAACGGAACTTCTAGAAACACCTGCCGACATAGTTAGAGCCTATGAGAGAGATAAGAAAGTTAAAGGTCATGCCTTGGACTGATATATTCTTGGAGGACCTCGAATTTAGGCCGGCGGGAGTGAAACCGTTTTCACCTATTAGCAGTAGCGAATGCAGATCCCAAGGCTCACCTATTAGCAGTAGCGAATGCAGATCCCAAGGCTCGATCCCCAGTCCTCACCTTACCTGTGTACAGTACCTGTGTCGACCCTGAGACTTGAACCCGTGACCTGGGTGTGTTTGCAGAGGTGGTAGTCATTCGTAGGGTCTGTAGGTGTAGGAGTTCGATCTGTAGATCTGTCGAGTAGAAGGCTTAGGGAGTTCTAGAAGTTGTAGCTGCTACAGTCCTGAAAGGTCAAGGTCGTAGCTGCTACAGTCCTGAAAGGTCAAGGTCGTAGCTGCTACAGTCCTGAAAGGTCAAGGTCGTNACAGTCCTGAAAGGTCAAGGTCGTAGCTGCTACAGTCCTGAAAGGTCAAGGTCGTAGCTGCTACAGTCCTGAAAGGTCAAGGTCGTAGCTGCTACGGTCTTCGAAAGGCCAGGACCCAGACTTCTGGAAGGTCCTAGTAGTGGCCTTTCGAAGTTGCTCACTTTTAGGCTGAGGCAAGTGGGCAAGTGGTGGAGTCTACCCATGCTGAGTCGGCAGTCCCAGTCCCAGTCTGTCCTCGTCCAGTCAAGCAAGTATTGCATGGGACTGTGTGCACCACGGGCATGGGAAAGGGCCAGACCAACGAGCTACAGAAGTATAAATCAAAGGGCAGCGTCCAGCCATTCATTGATTCCTGCGTGAGCCATGCGGAAGCGCTGCCACAGCGACTTGTGCGAGGTGGTCTGCAGTGAGCCCGAAGACGAAGTGGGCGAGAAGGAGCTTAGCCATAGCGATAGGTTAGCAGCGGCCATAGCCGCCATAGCTGTAGGTAGAGTGTAGCGTGTGTGYRTGTATGTGTGTACAGAGTATCGCGTGTGGGATATCCAGGGTGATCCTGTGTGTGCGAACAGAGTTGTGTGGACGCTGTGTCGCCATAGCCATTGAAGTGAACTTGTACCTGAACTGCGTTCTTGGCTACCATATCTCTGAGTTTCGAGTGGGCGCTTGTCGCCAGTTTGCTGTGCACCTGTTTGCATGAATGTGAAAGTGTGAAAGATAGCGAGTCTGATTGCACAGATGCGTGTGGAGATTCGAAATCACATGGGCTTGCGCATCTTGGCAGGTCCAAGATTTGAAAATGGCCAATCTAGGCTGTCGAAAAAAAAACAGAGATAAATAAAATGCGCGTATCAAAATTTAAATTTTAAAACTTGTCGACAAATCTTGGAAAATGTTTGGCAAACAAAAAAACTTACTCAAAAACCAAAAAAAAAAATTTCGAAGGCTCGAAAGATCAATTGCCACAATTGGCTGTTTTTTAAACGAAACAAGTGGCCATGTAGCATCCCCAGAATTATTTTCTTTTTGCACCTCTCGGCGCTCTGCACTTTGGGGCGGCTGCGGAGCCCAAAATAAGGGTGGAATTCCGTGGGAAACAATTTTTCTTTTGTTTTTCGGCACCAGGGCCACCCATGACCTCGCCCGGATGTCATGCCCGGCTGGTCATCCGGGCGTGTCTACGGGCATCGCTTTGCGACCCAGGCACCGGAAAATCTACATGGCCTTCAATATTGTAAGACAAAACTTGAATAGCACTGTGTGGAAGACATTATCGTTGGACTTCCGTCTTGAAGTATTCCCCTCGTTTGCTTGTGGTGTTTGATTTAACCAATATATGCTGAGCAAGTGGGGAGTTATGTGGATCCCCACGGTCAATCCTGTTTCCCTGCCGGTGTATAAGACATGAAGATGAATGGCTCGACATTAATGCCACGAAGCTTGAAGTAGTTATTTTCAGCCCCAGCATAATGCACCCTCATCACAGATCGTACATATTCGTGACATGGGTCTGTGGTGGTCAGGGGAAAGTCGTTAAGAGACTAGAGGGAGGTGCAATTGTGCTTTTGCAAAACCTCTTGGATGTCCTTGCATGTTTTTGCTTCAGATGTTGTTCTTGTTGTTGCATGTTTTTGCTGAAGAGCAGGATATCACCTAAGCATACAAGAACAAACCTGTTTATCCGATTGCAAAAAACGTGGTCCATGAGATTTTGGAAGGTTCTTCGCCTTGCTTGAAACTATCTGTTTTTGCTTCAGATGTTGTTCTTGTTGTTGCATGTTTTTGCTGAAGAGCAGGATATCACCTAAGCATACAAGAACAAACCTGTGTTATCCGATTGCAAAAAACGTGGTCCATGAGATTTTGGAAGGTTCTTCGCCTTGCTTGAAACTATCTTCTTGTAGACATGCCTGCGTCCCCGCTTCTTCTCAGAGGGCTGGAGGCTCTCGGACGGTTCTCTCATAAACGAGCGGGAAATGGTTTACCAACAATAGCAAATAATGGACGAAAGTTGGGGCTGGTTGAACCTTGGGGAGGAGAAGGGTGCCAAATGGTGATGAGGTAGATGATGTTCGGATTGGTTCTTCTTGTGTTCTGTGTTGTCTTGCTGTGCTCCACAGGACGAGATTGATGATGCCCGGCTGGCCTCAGAGATGGCAGCTTTTGCAGAGCGCCGAGCAAGTTCCCAGAAGGCAAGTGAAGGATCTTCTCGGAAACTGCATCTACGATCTTGTGCTGAAATGTCACCAGCCGAGGAAGATGCTGCCAATGGTGAGGACAGACACGCACTCACTCAGAATATTGCCTGAGAATGGAGAGAATGGACATTCTAAATGTCATGCAGAGTTTGTGTTGACGTGTCAAACAGGAGGGTTGCCTTATTGAATACCTTGACACAAGGGGCTGGCATTATGGACGCCTACTGTACTTGCCAATCTAATGGACAGAGCACATGTGGTATGTTTGTCCATCTATGCTGATGCACACAGCTGCATGGCTTGCATGCTTGGAGAGCGAACAAGTGGTAAGGCTGTCCATGTGGGCAAAGGGCCAGGCAGCTGCATGGACCACATTCTCACATGCCACATATGTGTTTAATCCTAGGATGCGCATCACTCTTTTTGTGTGTGGGTGTGGGTGCGGTGGGTGTGGGTGCGCATGTGGGTGTGGGTGCGCATGTGGGTGTGCGTGTGGGTGGGGATGTGAAAGGGTGTGTGCATGTGTGCGTGTGGGTGCGGATGTGTGTGTGTGGGTGTGTGTGTGTGTGTTTGGGTGTGCCCATATACGCAAGGGCCCCAGCAGCGGCTCTTGCTGCATGCTTTGCATGCTAACATCGCTATGCATGTTTCTAATGATCTTGTCGTAAGTTTGGGGACACTGTGCATGTGTTTCAAGGAGGGGGGGAGGAGAGGGCTGGCGGGAGGGTTTGTATCTATATGAGTGAAATTGGCAGCTCCGAAGCCTGTGGAGATGGCCCTTCTGGACATGTTAAGCAGGCTGCTCATTGGATATGGAGGCAGTTGCGGAAGGGGCAACGCGCACGGGGCAGTGTTGGGCGGGGTGTTGTCAGGAAAGGAATTTGTACGGCATGACTGTTCAGTCTTCTCCCCTCCCACCCACCTGGGCGAGCGTTCAAATTATCCTCCTGGTGTCTGAGCCTTTGGGAGCCAAGGCACTGGGATTGGGGGCTTTCAGGCATAAGCCTGGTTTTAGTGGCCTTGCATGGGCCCGCCAAGATGTTACGGACAATCTGGTCCAGAAATTGTGGGGTGTATCTGGTGTCGTAATGTTTGCAAGGATGTACTGATGATGGCATAGAGCAAGTTCAGGATCATACAACCTGGAATGACATCTACCACCCAAATCTCTGGAGAACATAGAAAGTGTCTGTGCTAGTCGTAGGAAAATGACTTCATCATCCTTCTTCCCTACCTTCATGTTTGTCAAATCCAGATGAATTAACTTGTGCAAAGAAACCCCTCATCTTGGACTTCTGGGACAGAACAAGAATCACCATTGTGACACCAACATCGGGTTTTTGGCCACAATCTTCACTACCAGGATCACAATGGTCTTGAGTCCTGGGCCAGAACCGGCCTGATAAAGTTGATGAAGTGAAATGGGTGGAGTTCAGAAATAACTCTAGAACAAGGGGAATGGGAAGGGTTTCTCCGAACTGGATCTGGCATGTTTCCTTGCCCTTCGAGTTTGACTGGCAAGGTAGCTAATGCACTCCCAATGTCACAACGATGATTGTTGGTTGTATTGTCCCCTTATTGCACAAGCTTCTGCATTACCTCTTCGTTCACTAGAATTAGCTGTGAGAATAGGAAGGGTGCCTCAAAGTTGTTTCTGAGCTCCACCTCTTTGACCTCATCCCTGCCAGTCCTTTGCTATGAGCATTTGGCCAGTTTCCATGTGCAACTGTGGAACTGGTAGCAAGCACCATAACAGCCAGACTCAGGCGAATAGGGTTTCATGTTGTCCAGTGTTTGGATCACTCATATGCCCCTTTCCGTCCTACAACCGCACGATGAATCACCTTTTCAATATTGGCCCTCGCAGCATGTCGCAGTGTCCCCTGCCTGAAGTTTTTTGTGTTGCATAGGCCTCCCCCGCCATCCTGCCCTGCCTCCAAAGTTCACATCCACATTTGCTGTAGCTCTTTCCGACTCCTAGAGGCAGATCATCCTGAACAGCTGTTGCATAAAGCAGCCTTCAGGTGGCCCCTCTCCTCCGAGCACTTGGCGCCTTAGCCACTGGGAATGCCTCCCCACTGTTGCTACCTTCTGCCTCATGGTCGTCTTTCGCATTCCAGGATTGTCCGACAAATCCACTTTGAAACCTGGACGTCGTCGCCTCAGGCTTCACTGGTGCTAAAGTGATGCAATGGTTGGGAGCATACTCTCTGCTGTTTCTCAGCTATTATGTCGATCCGGGTTTTCTTGCTGGATCCTTGTGATTTTGTGAATCGTCCACTCTGCTCGAGACCAAAGCTTTCTAGTTCCTGACCTGCATAGCTGTTATCATCTCTAACACGTTTTTCCCTGATGCATCTCTAGCCCGTTTTTCCCTGATGCATCTCTAGCACGTTTTTCTCTGATGCATGATGGACAAGGGGCTTAGTGTGCCATGTTGCTAACTATGGTTTCAGGTCTGTGGCCTTTTATGAAAAATCTGTTCAGTGTCGCAGAGAGTAGAGAATCTTGAGATGTTTACTCTTGAATGTGCATCGAATTTGTGCAGATCGCTGCCTACGTGGAGCAGAGAGTGCAGTGTCTTCATCGAACTCAAGGGAGCCCTCACGGTGGACCAAGCGTACTTCAGGAGGCCCAAGTCAGAGAGAAGGGGCTGTTGGTGATGGCTATGTGGTGGCTGAGCCAGTCATCATGGGACATCAGGCTGCAGAGCCCATTGAGGACCAGAATGCAGCAAGCGCTCACCTGGCCCCTACTATCCGCTCTGCTCCTGTGGTTGCGATGCAGAGTGTTGCGATGGGGCCGCAGTTCTGGAACACGCAATGGCAGCGGGCCGATCCAGTTGTTGGCGCGCAGTGCATTGTGAGCAATGTTGCAACTGGAAATTGTGAGCCAGTGTCAGGAAAATCCAGTAAGAGATCCCTTGATGGTGGGACGGAGAGTACCCCCGTGTCATTTGTGACCTATCCTGCTGGCAGCGGAGAAGGGATGCCTTTTGTAAACGGCATGTATGGGGCACGAGGATGGTTTAAGCCACCCACCGTATGCGATCGACTGACGACAGGGTTGCAGGCTGTCCCGCCGGCCAGAGGAGATGGTATCTCAGGTGGCATTTGGGCTGCAGGATCTCCGATTGTGGATCCTGATCGTTACGTGGCTATCCCGGTTCCCTCGGTGTCAATTGCATCGCCAGTGGCCGTTCCCGTTCCAGTACCTGTACCTGACTTCATCCGTGTTGTCGAAACAGTTGATGATGGCTCTGCAGCGGCAAGGTCGCACTCTACAAAAGCTGAGAGGCATCCTTCGTATAACCGTGCTTCGTGTCGAGAGGACTGTGCTGTGAGTTGCAGTACCGTGGCTTCTCCATTGGTAAGCCCCATTCCTGCCTACACCATCAATGGCTCTAGCTCCCCTCTGGATGCTCTACTGTACAACGGTGTGGTGCGTGTTGTGGGATCGGCAGAGAGGGCCGAAGGCTCAGGGATTGGTGGGGAGTCGATCAGGAGGCCAGTAACAGCAGGCGGTGCACTGAAGTCGTATTGCAGTGCCGCTGCAGCAACATCTGCCCCATGCAATGGTGCAGATCATGGGCTAATGTATACAGTTCAAGTTGACCCACGGAAGATATCCTATGCGCAGGCACTGCCTGTGATGCACACTCGTGACATGCTATTGGTCCCAAATGCAGCCGCATACCCAGCTATGCTCATGACTGGTGAAGGTTGGCAGATGTACACCGATCCAATGTGGGAGAATGTCTTGTGGGCAAATCAAGGCTGCGCGGGTCAAGATCGTCGTCTCTTGAATGGTCCTGTCCTTTATCAGAGCCAGATACCATAGGTTCGCGCCGATTGCTCTTTGGTCAGGACAGTAGGTAGAAGTAAAAATGGCCGAGGCAGTGAGCACAGATGTAGGTTTCTTTCCAGGAGGAGGTGTAGGGAAGGATTCGAGCAGAGGTACCTGCCGTTGTCATGTCGGAACAGCGTACACACGCTTGGTTCGCCTGCCAGTTCAGTGAGCCTGCTGCTCCATGCAGGTCCCACTGTCACGCTCTTGTCCAGCCCTGGCAGTAACCAAACTTCAGGAGACTGTTGCTGTTTCCTGATGTCTCCTCTTCCACACAATGTGGCTATTCGCCACGCTTCCTTCCCATACATACGTAGGATGTATAAGGCGGTGAGAATAAGGCAAGCCCTGTTCAGAACTGCTGTTCCTTTCCCTCCTTCCACCTCCTACTTGAAAACAGAAGTGCCAAGTGCTCATTCATTGTTTGAGCATTACTGTGCCAATAGGGCTTTCTCCTTAGTTTGTAGAGATGTAGGCAGAGTGTGGAGCAGTCCAAACTGCAGTTGTGGGTCTAAGGATTGACATATCCTCCCTAGCCTTCTCTTCCCCACCCTCCTCCTAAGAGTCCTAACCACAATACACATACAACACACACATACACACACACACACACACACA